TTCCAGGACAGTGGGCACAGGACTTCACTTCAAACACACAGACCTTCCCAGCACCCTGGTTATCATCTCTAGCACCGCTTTTCTCCAGAGTCACAAAGGAAGTCTTCCTACGTCCCACTCTCCCATTATGCCCAGCTCATTCTGCTTTAGTAGCATTTCAGAGAGGAAGAGACCAGGACCATCCTGTTCACACTGCACTAGTGCTTGGGATTCCTGCCCAAGCCCTCCCCATGGAAGCCTGCCTTTCTAGGCTTTGGGAAGCTCTGTCAGGACATTCCATATATTGAGCCAAAATGGCGCTGTGCCTTAATCGCTGTGTGCCTTAGTTTCCTCATCCAATAGATACTTAAAACAATACCTACTCTATGCTGTATTTTATAAATACTAGCTGCCCTCACCATTATATTAATTATTATTTCATATTGCTTCCACCCCTGAAATCTTTAGACGACAAATCCAGTTTTTCTTGAATTCATCCCTCTCATCATTTGGTCACTGTTGCTTGCCCTCATCTTCCTGTGTCCAGGATACAGGAAGCCCTCTTGATGACTGCACAGGCTGCTTTCTGTGTCACTCCATTTTTCCTCCATGCATCCTGAACAAGCACCTTCCTGGGCTGGTGCTTAGGTTTATTCTTCCCCTCTTCAGAAGCCAACCCGGTTCTTGCTCACTTTCATATGTGGATAGATATAAAGTTCTCTATTAATTTCTTGCCAACCCATACATACATGCTGTTTTCTTTGGGCATGAAAACTTCCTGTCTTCTCTGAACTTCCTCTTCTTATTTGCAGGTCAGCTGATATGTTTATTTTTTTAAGAATTACATAATTAAAAGCTTCATAGCTTATACACCACAATGTTAATAGTGACTAATACAATTACAGGTAATTTTTATTTTCTTGTTCCTACTTTTCTGTATTTTTCAACAATATACAAAAAATATATAAATTGTATAGCTACAAAAATGAGTTTTATAAAAATACAGTTGTGAACTATATTACACAGTAGTTTCCATAGAATCAAAAGCATGCTCTCTCCAGGCTGCTCAAGAGACAGCGTTGTCATTCATGAAGATCAGAAGGGTCCCTAGGCATCCCTCAACCCCTTCCCCATTGGAGAATCTAGTATCATTAATTGTTGTCTTTTAAGTGTCAATGGATTTAACCAATACTACAGATTCTTGCTTACAAGTTGAAGTGCTCTGTTGTAGTAGAGAGGTGGATGAAGTAAAGGGGTGGACCCTTATCCATCAGAACCATATCCCTTCTTGACAACTCCTAAAGTGCTTTCAGAATTGTTCTGGATCTGCAGAACACAGTTCTGCCCTGAAACCATAGTCTATTCTGGAAACTTGAACTCCTTCAAATTTGCTCAGATAAGGAGTTTACTGCGTAGTATGTAGGGAAGGGTTTCCTTCATTTGCCCAAAAGTTTTCTGCTCATCTCCTTTTTTACCTCCAAAATCAGTACCTATGGTTAATCAATCTTATACTTGAGTATTTTTGCATGGCCAGAAAGTTTTATTATCTCAGAGATAGCTCTCAGCTTGGAAAAAAGAAAGGTGTATGCTTGTCTGTTACCACTTAGTTTCTGCTCAGAGGTTAACAAAGGCAATGCCTTCTTATCTGTCAAGCTGATTGATGGGATCTTTGGCACTTCTGACTCAAGATCTGAAACCCTGTACTTTCTTCGCTTACTGTTTACCATTTTCCTCTCCAAATTATTTTATTCTTCTGCACTTCATTGACTTATGGTTTTCCTTTGGCCCTCAATGTTTTGTTCCTGGGCTTCTGCTTTGCTCTTACTTCATTCTCCAGACAACTAGTCCATTCCCAGTGTGCAGAGACCACAGTGTGGCAGGGAATGTTCAAATCAGTGTGTGCTTGAGTCTCTCATGCAGGGCATTCTTTTTGCTCCAGCATATTCATTCCCCAAATGAGTATGTCTAACATCAGATACAGTCTCCCCACCATTTCCTGCACCAGCACCTCTATTCTACCAATAGCTACAATATCCTCCCCATAACCAACTTTAAGGCCTTGGAATTTTAATTATTTTCTAGCCATTTGTCACCAAATATCTTGGACTTTTACCTTCAAAACTTTTCTCAGGGCCGGGGATTTAGCTCAGTGGTTCCACTGCCTGCCTTGCAAGCCCAAGGACCTGAGTTTGATCCCCAGTACAAAAAAAAAAATTTTTTTCTCAGATTCATTTTACTCATTACTTTATGTCATTGAATTTTAGAATTGCAGTGCTTTATTATGTACATTATTTATGGAGTTATTATTCAACAAATATTTCTTAAATCTGGATATAGTCTAACTTTGTCAGAGACATTTTTAGCATTTCTTGACATTCTAAGAAATCAGTGTCTCTTGTCTTTCATCCCAATAGTCTGTTCTGTACATTGTCAGTTCAGTAATGAAAACATCAATTTAATAATTCAGTATTTCTTATGAATATAGATACAAAAGTCCTCAACAAAATACTAACAGATGTAATACAACAGTATATAAAAGGATTATGTATCATGACCAAGTGGGGCTTGTCCCAAGAATATAAGGCTGGTTTAACACCTAAAAATATATCACTCCAATAAAAAAAACAACAAAAGCACTTGATAATCTTAGTAGATACAGAAAAACCTTTTGACAAAATTGAGCACTTCATGATAAAAACATTCAACCTAGGGATGAAAGAGTCTTTCCAACTCAATAAAGAGCAACTAGAAAAAGAAACCCACATCTCACAACATGCTTCATGATGAAAGACTTAATGCTTTCCTTTTACATCAGGAGCAAGACCAGGATGTTTGCTCTCACCATTCATATCAGCGTTATAGGATGGGCAAGAAAAGGGGAAAATGATACCCAGATTAGCAAGGAACCAAAACTACCAAGATCTTGTATATTAAAACCCCTAAGGAGTTAAATAAAAAACTATTAGAACAGATAAATAAGTTGAGCAAGTTTGCATAATAAAAAAGCAATATACAATAATCATATTTCTATATAGGAGGAGTGAACAAAACTGGAATTATGAATACATGTTTGCAATAGTATCAAAAAACAATAGAATATTTAAATAAATTTATAAGTTTGGCTGTTAGAGTGTATGCATATCTTGTGCAAGGCCCTAAATTCCATCCTGGGTCACCTTCCCCCAGGAAAAAAAAATAAATTTATGAAAAGAAATACAAAAGTATAAAAGCTGTACTCTGAAAACTACAAAACATTGTTCAAAGATCCTAAAGAAAACTTAAATCAATGAAAAAGCATCTAATGTTCTTGCATCAGAAGGAAGTCTTGTTAAGACAACTGTACTTCACATACTGATCCACAATCCCTAATAAAATCCAAGTTGTTTTATACACTGATCCAAATATTGCATACATTGATGTGAAAATTCATAAAGCAGTCCAAAGGACCCAGAGAAACCAAAGCAATCTTGGGAAAAAATTAAAGTTGGAGAACTCAGAGTACTTGATTTCAAAATTCAGACTTCATACCTAGCCAGGCATGGTGGTGGATGCCTGTAATCCCAGCACTCAGAAAGGCTGCACAGTGAGTTCCAGGGTAGTCTGAACTACATAGTGAGACCCTGTCTCAAGAAACAAACAAACAAACAAACATACCTATGCTCCAGTAGTCAAAATGGTGGGATGCTGGCATAACAACAGGCGCATAGAGGGGCCAGGATTTTGCCACCTGCCTTGCAAGTGCAAGGTCCCAAGTTTGATCCCTGTTACCAAAAAAAAACTTTTTTTAAAAGAGAATAGGTACATAGATAAATAAAGTAGAAATAAGAGTCCAGAAATAAAAGCCTCCCATTATAGTCAATTTAAGATAATTAAATAGGAGCATGGCTTCAGCTAGAGCCTCACTCTCTCCATGCCTCTCCTCTCCTCCATGCAGTGAGCCCAAAGGAGGAACTGAGTGTGCTTGGCCCTGACCTGCTTTTGTGTTGGTTTTCTGAGCCACGCATCTGCTGGCTACATAGAAGCAGTCTGGTGTGCTGTGGGGTTGTCTGGCAGGACCACTTTAGCAGAGCCTTTTCCATAGATCTGAAGCCAAGTCCACTCTGTTGACTTTACTAGTAACAAAAGCAATATCTTTTTAGTTCCATCTGCTTGGCCCCCACTTTCCCTCTTAATTGATTCAGATCTCAAAAGTGGGTAGATATTAGTAATTGGTCCCCTTTAAATCCCAGTTAATTACTGTAAGACCTCAAAATGATAAATTAATGTATCCCATGATAATACCATTTATTTGTATACCAATTTATTCTTACAGTTATTCTGACTACCTGAGTGAGCATTGTTACTTTCTTTTAGATTTTATACATGTGGTTTTAAAATGAATATATGTAGCCAGACTCAGGGGTGCACACTTGTAACCCCAGCTGATTAGGAGGCTGAGCCAGGAGGATCACAACTTAGCAAGACCCTGTCTGATAATCAAAAATGGTCTGACATATCTCAGTGGTGAGCACTTATCCAGCATGTGTGGGTATCCCTGGGTTTAATCTCCACTGCTGCAAATGAATGGATGAATGAATGGTTGAACTTTCCTAGGTAGACTCCATTAAATATGTGTTTTATAATTTATTATAAGTATATACCAAAAATGTAACTTACACATTTAAGAGCAGAAAAATAAAAATAAGCCAAAACCAAACACCAAAAAACAACTCAGGTTGCTTTAACAGAACACTGTTCTGCACATGGCCAACTGCACATTGGCAGAGCGTAGTGATTTTAAGGATGAATTAGTATTCTAATCTCTTTGGGATTTCCTTTATATTTGTGGTGGTTTATGACTGACATATAATGTAACTATAGCTTTCTGTTTATATTTAATAAAAGATTTCATTTCTGTGTCAAGACACACATTTGCACTCTGTTGAATAAGAGCTACTGTTCTGCGTGGATATAAAAATGGTGATTTATAAGTCCATGTTCCAATAACAGCAATCTAACTCCTCCAAACTATTTTTTCCCAGGTCCTGGGAACAATACAGCTCCAGCAAAAGATGATTCTTCTCTTCCAGAATATTCAACCTTTAACACCTCTGTCCATGCTGCAATCAGACATGGAAATTGGAAACTACTCACGGGCTTTCCAGGTAGAGTGCTTAGCTTAACCAGTGTCCCTTCCTGCAGTGGACTGGGTCTCACTGAGTGCTCTGGGCAGTATCTCCAGGCTGCCCATGCTCTTACTGTTTTATTCCTATGGACATTTTTCTGGACACAGAGTATATCGTCACTCATGTTCTAATCACTATTCATCTCAAGATACCTGAGCCCACCACCACTCCCCTCACTTTGTTCAGCTGCCTGAAATGTTACATGTCCTTTAAATCTTTCATGATCCTCCTCCTTTTTTTTTTGGTACCTAGAAATAAACTCGGGCCCTTGCACTTGACACTTGAGAGGCAGGCACGGCACCACTGAATTCCCAGCCCTTGTGATCTTTCTTGATGTGTATCCTAAGGAGATATTTATTCAGGGTTTGCTAGTCTTACTTTTAACACTCAGCAGGTTCCCAAATGCACAACTTCCATTTTTGTTATGCCTCAAGATAAGGAATGGTTTCATCTACTAGTCCTGACCAAAAAAAAAAGAAGAAGAAGAAACAAGCAAGTAAACAAACAAACAAATTGAAAATTAGCTGTACGTGGGTGCAAAAGGAATAAATACTATCGGAATACTTTGTGGAAAATACAGGTTTCAGGTCTGTGTGGCTGTCAAATAGCACACCCTGTCAGCAGTGAATCCCTGAGAGCTACACCCTCAACCAGTGTTGTAGCTGGGGAACAAGGCTCCTTTCTTGATGATATTCTCTAATGTGACATCTTCTCAATCCTTTGTAAATACATAGTAACATGGTGAAGGCTGTAATGAAATTATACAGTGCTTATAATGAGGTTAGGACTGGGGATATAGCTTGGATAGGGGGTAACTCAGTGTTCCAGGCCCTGGATTCCATCTTTAGGACATTAAAAAAAAAAAGCAGACATTTATAATGGTAATATTGGCATTTTGTGCATTTTCAACAAGGTGATTCTTTATCATTTGGACTGTCCCATGTATTGCAAGACATTTTAGAATCCCTGGTCCATGCCCACTAAATAGAGGAACACCTTAATCCCCCATTTCATTGTGACAATTAGACGTCCCCTTGCATACACATATGCACACGTTTCTGGATGTCCCTGGTTGTAAAGCAGCAAAATATGTCTCCCGAAGCCGGATTCTGAGACCAATCTAGAGACGGTGCCAAGGACTGCATCTTGTGTACATGCCCACACCTGCAAACCATGAAGCGCAGTCCCCAGACTCTTGCTGAAATTAGACCTGCCCACAGTGCTTCTCTCCAGTAAACAGTCTCATTTCCTCATCAGGCTGTGGATCCTGGTTCCCTCCACCATCTCAATACGGTGTTTCTGAGGTGCGCTCATCAGACCCCCCAACCAAGACCCTGTGGCTCTTTGATATTGACCAGGACCCCGAAGAAAGGCACGACCTGTCTGGAGAGTACCCCCACATCGTCAGACAGCTCCTCACCCGTCTGCAGTTCTATCAGAAACACTCGGTACCCGTGTACTATCCGGCGCAGGATGCACGCTGCGACCCCAAGAGCACTGGCGCCTGGGGTCCCTGGATGTAGGATTTTGGAGAGGCGGGAATGTCTTTCTGTTGTATGCTGGCCCTTGGGCCTTGACCACTGCAGCCTCTTGTCCCATTTGTTCTCTGCCTGCCCCATACCCAGCCCATCTGGCCCTTCTCTTGCTCCTAAACTACACCAGGGAGCCTACTTTCCACCATTGGTGCAACTCAGACAGTGACCACATTAAGCACTCCTGCTGCTGGCCCAGACTATGTCTGGAGGCGGGTGGCTGGCTCATCCCCTCTCCCAGCTGTGGGACAGCTGGGGACTTGACATTGGAAGTGATCCGGGGACCAGAGCAGCTGGCTCTTTTTGCCTCACAAGTCAGACGTTAGATTTCCCTCAGATTTTCCTCTGCCAATAATGGGTGTTATTGGAGTGACTCACATTTCTTGTAACAAGTGAAGGGTGTGGCCAGACGGTTGTTTGGTTCTGCTGGCCAGGGGTTCCCCATCTTTGGATGGTCATGACCCCTCAGCTCATCCCTCACCCACACATCTCATCATGGAGTGGAAGGCCAGCATGGCAATATGCCAACATCTTGGTTTTGGTTTTTACAATAAAGAGATGTGTTTTTATCCTAAATTCTTTCCCCAGCTATTGCCCATTCTGTCTAGACTTCCTGCCACCCCCAACTCCCCTGTGGCTCTCGTCTTGCCATTCCTCTTGACTCCGATGGCTGGTGCCTGCGGAGACTGCGTCACTTCTCTTCTCTGAGCAGCTGGATTGAGGAAGATGCTGAGCCCTGACTTCCCTTGGCCCGTAATACTAAGGCCACGGCCCTGCTGGAAAATGTGACCAGGTCACTCTATGATCTTGCCCCTGGGGATGCCAGGAAGACTGGGTGGGAAGTACATGAGTGTGTGGCATCTGTCCAGCAAGATTTTTCCTAAGTTACATGAAAGCTCATTGTCATGCAAGTGGCTTTCTCTCCTAACTCAGTACCAGCTACACTTCTGTTCCAGGCATTGAAGAGAAACCCAAGGAAAGGGTCATTTTTTTCCTGATTCAAAGATGGGTACTGGTCCTGGGTACAGGGATACAGCAGAGAGGGGCCACCTCCCTGTCTCTCATTCTCTGTCTTTTCGTATGAGGGACCTATGGTTGGGAAAAACAGATGTAGTTTGACGTGCAGTCCTTTTTCAAGCCCACCAGTATCCTGCTAAACTGGTGCATTCAGTTTAGCTACAGTGTGTCACACTCAGAGAACAGGGGAGAGCACTGTACTTTTTCCATTAACTCTGCTGCTTATTGTCAGCACCTAAGAAAATTCATGTTTTAAAATAACTGAAAAAACAAAGGAGAAAGCCTCACACCATGAGAGGTGATCCAGTGCACTGAACACAGGGGTAACTTTAGTGTCTTCCAAAACACTGCTGTCCTATTTGCTGTTGCATAGCTGGGCAGTCGTAGGACACACAGAAGCAAGGCTGTAGCGTCCTCTGCAGAGGACAGAAGGGAGCTAGCACTGCCAAGATACTCTCTTGCCAACGATCTTCATTTCCATTCTTCATAAGACACTAGATACAAAAAGCACAAAATGATATTATTTGGGTCTTGATCATATAGCGATCTTTCACTTCAGTAGTGCTATTTGCTGGTCACAATTACCTTGTGTTATATTGAAACAAGACTACTGGAAGGAAATGGTGCTAGAACTAGTGACATCTATTTCCAACTAACGACATCTGTTTCCAGCTTTAGACCAACTTCTGGGTTGGCAAACAGCTGGGCAAATGCCATTCTCCAAAGCCTGGGACAAATAGTAGGGACTAACTTGTCCTATTTTCTTCCCGTTATTAATGTTCTGAGATCGGAGGCCACCACTCTAGGACACCTGTTTGCTCTCCCTGCTGTGCCCTCGACAGCTGTCCCCAGTTCCTTGGTTGTCCTTGATTTCTGTGTTTACGGGGAATGTTCCACATTCGGTGGATTTAAAGAGTTCTAAATAGTAGTTGTGTTTAAAAAATGAGATTTTATCCATAACAGAATATATTTCATTAGATTTTTCTTGTTCCACAAAACATGAAGATTTGCATTGTCATTAGATGTGCTATTTGTTTTTTATTTAACTATTAACTAGTTTATCTCTGTTACCACATGATTGTTCCAGATTTGAGAGAAAAAATAAAATTAATATTTTCAAAATTATTTCAGCCGTGGATATTGTGAATGCACTTAATGTCACTGAACTATACATTTGAAAATGGTGAAAATGGGGATTTTATCACAATTTTTGAATTTGCCAATTTTATGGTATGTGGCAAATCTTGATAAATCTGTTAAAATATAGAATGATACCAGCTGAAATGTGTCTATGCTGCATTATAAAACAGCATTTTGGAGGGAGGTCAAGGAAGGGGAGGAGTAAAAACAAAGTGCTAATAAGAGAATGTATTTGTTTTCTTTTGCTATGTAAAAAGTTACCACCAAATCTAGCAGCTAAAATGACATTTATTGTTTCACCTATGTGACCCTCCCTGAGGGCCAGGCCTGTGGTTGAGCTGGGAGGTTCTGCCTCAGGGTCTCATGAGACTGGTCAAGCAGTGGAGCAGTGAAGTGGTCACCTGAAAAATGGGTGTGGTTCGCAGGACCACTTCTGAGATGTTGCATTTACAAGGCTCTAGATGCAGTGTATTCCTTGCCAGGAGGGCATCAGCATAAACTGCTTGAGGTCCTCACGGGCGACTCCACCAGAGCAGTGATCTACAGAGACAGCGAGTAGGCCCTATGGTGCCTTTTGTGACCCGGTCTCCAAAGTCACACACTACCACTTCTACCTTTTTCCCACTCATAAGTAGTTCTCTAAGTGTACCCCATAGTTAAATGGGGAGGGGAACCCCATATTTTGAAAGGACTGTTAGATTTATGGACATATTTCTCTACAGTGGGCACAATCAGCCTCCTGTGGAGTAATTGCCCAGTTAAGTCACATGCATCTATCAGATGCTGCTACTTTTAAGAAAGATGGTAGAAACGAGATCCAGCTTTGCTACTTAGAGGTAGAGTGACCATGGGCAAATACCTTAACCCTCTCTATTCCTCAGGTTTTTCCCTGGTAAACTGATGGCTTGAATTAGATATTCCCTAAAGTCTTACTTTCCATAATAATGCCCAGCACACAGTAGATGTTCTATAAATTTTGGTCAGTTAACTCTGAAATAATAATACCGTGCTGAAAATTTGCCTGAGGTTATGCTCAATTTTGCCGGGGGCCGGGGATTTAGCTCAGTGGGGTGGCCTGCCTTGCAAGCGCAGTGACCGGAGTTCAATCCCCCTCCTCCCGTACCAAAAAAAAAAAAAAAGCATTATGCTGCTGGGTGTGGTGGCACATGCCTGTAATCCCAGCACTCAGGAGGCTGAGGCAAGAGGATTGCTGTGAGGCAGCCTGGGCTACATAAGTGAGTTCCAGGTCAGTCTCAACTACACAGTGAGACCCTGTCTCAAAAAACAAAACATAACAAAAAAAGCATGCTATGGTTTGCATCTTCAGTGTCCCCAAAGGCCCATGTACTGAAGATATGGTCCCCTTCCCACAGCATATGGGATGTGTTAGAACCTCTAGCAGGCAGGGCCTTGGTCAAGGAAGTTTGTCATTAAAAGTCTGCCCAAGACTTTGTGTCCTCCCACTGCTTCCTCCTGCCATGAGATGCAGTCTTCCTCCACCATGCACCTACCATGATGAACTGCCACACCACACTGAGAAGCAACTGCCCAAGTGGTTCCAAAAGAACCTTTCCTCATGTGTTCATTACAGTAACAGAAAGCTAATAGATTGTTCTAAATCTGATAATTTTTTTGAGTGCTGTATGATAGACATTGTACTCAGTACTTTATTTGGGGGGGGGTTGTTTGTTGTTTTTTAAGAAAGGTTTATTCTGGCTCAAAGTTTATAGAGGTTTCAGTCCATAGTCAGCTGGCTCTGAGGCAGGGTGGCATGAAGGGTACAAATAGGATGCTTGCTTGTGGTGTGGCAGCGGGAAGCCAAGCGTGATCAAGGAGAGAAAGAGACAGACCCTGCAAGGCCACGCCCTCACTGACCCGCCTCCGACCAGGCTCACTTCCCAGAATCATGTTTAGCCAGAAGCTTATCAGTGGATTAGTTCACTCAGTGGATTAGTCCTCTGATGTGTACTCGGTACTTTAAAAGGATGGTCTTTTAAAATATAACTTAGAAATCTTAGAGGTAATATTTGTAAAACCGATTCAAATTTAATTACATAACTCTAAATTACTATAATTTATTAATGTAAATTCCATCTTTGTTCATATTCAGTCTTTGTCCAAGGGTAAAGTTATTTAAATCACAAAAGTAAAAGGAATTATTTTGTCATTTTATGAGGCACATTAGAGAACTCATGTCTATCAAAAGGGAAAAGGATAAACGAAATAACATGTAAGTAGTGGAATATTATTCAGTCATTAAAAGGAATGGAGTTCTAATATATTCTACAATATGGATTAACTTTGAAAACCTGGTGTTAAGTGAAAGAATCCAGATAAAGAGGATAAATACTGCATGATGCCACTACTTGACACTTCCATTGATAGGGAGAAGTGTTCTTTTTTTCTCCTTTCCCAGTTGCCTTGCCATTATTTGTTATTGTTATATTTCTTGATGATAGCCATTCTTTCTGCAGTAAGACAAAACCTCAGTGTTGTTTTAATTCTCTAATGGCCAGAGATGTTGAACATCCTTTTCAAGTGTTTATTAGCCAATTGTAGTTCTTCTAAAGTATCTATTTATTTCAGTTGCTTTTTGGGGGGTACCAGGGATTAAACTTGGGACCTTGTGCTTGTGAGGCAGGTGACAGAACCACTGAGCTAAGTCCCTGGCCCAGTTGTCCATTTTTTGATTGGGTCTTTTATTTGTGGGGGGGGGTCAATTTTTTTTTTTGAGTTCTTTATATATTCTACATATTCGATCTATCTGGGGAGTGGCTGGCAAATTTTTCCCCCATTGTATAGATTGTTTCTTCACTCCATTGGTTGTTTCCATTGCTGTGTAGAAGCTTTTTAATTTGATTTTGTCTCTTACTCTGCTACTGAACTTGATTATTCTGGGAGTCTTTTGGTGAAATTTTTTGGGTCTTCTATATAGAAGAACATGGCATCAGCAAACAGTGATAATTTGACTTCTTCCTTTCCTTTACACATCCCTTTTATTTCTCTTGTCTGATTTCTATGGCTAATATTTCGAGTACTATATTGAATAGGACTGGTGATAGTGAATATCCTTTGTCTGTTCCTGGTTTTAGAGGGAAACATTTCAGGTTTTTATCCATATAATATAATGTTGATGGTAGGTTTGTTATAAATGACTTATCAGATTGAGATAAAGTCTTCCTATACCTATTTTATTCAGGGTTTTTTACACTGAATGAATGTTGAATTTTGTCAACAGTTTTTTCTGCACCTATTAAAATGATCATATGATTTGTATCCTTGCTTCTGTTTATGTGATGTGTTACATTTACTGATTTGCATATGTTGAACTATCCTTGCATCCTTGGTCATGATGTATGATCTTTTTGATGACTTGTTGCATTCTATTTGCTAGTATCTTGTTGAGGATTTTTGCATCTGTGTTCATTAAAGAGATTGGTTTATAATTCTCTTTTTTGATTGGATCCTTGTTGTTTTGGAATCAGGATGATGCTTGCTTCCAGGAATGACTTTGGGAGTACTCCTTTTTTCAGTTTCATTAAAAAGTGTAAGAAGCAATGGCTTTATATCATCCCTAAAGTTCTTGTAGAATTTAGTAGTAAATCCATTGGAACCTGGGCTTTCTTAGTTGATAGATTTTTTTATTACTGCTTTTATTTCATGTATGTTATTGGATTAGTCAGTTTTTTATATCTTCTTGGTAAAGTTCTGATAATTCATTTGTATCTAGAAATCTGTTTATTTCTCAATTCTCCAATTTATTGGCATACAGGTTTTTTAAGTAGTTGCCAATAACTGAATTTTGGCAGTGTCTGTTGTTATTTCAGCTTTTTAATTTCTCATTGCATTGACTTGGGTAATTTTTGGTAAAATTAGCTAAGGATTTGTATTCTTTCAAAGAACCAGATCTTCATTAATTCTTTGTATTATTTTTTCAATCTCAATTTCATTAATTTATGCTCTGGTCTTTATAATTACCTTCCTTCTACTGGCTTTTAATTTGGATTGTCCTTGTTTTTCTAGGACCTTGAGGTGTATTATTAGGTTACTTATTTGGGGTTGCTTTGTTCTTGTGATTTAGGCATTCACAACTATAAACTTTCCTCTTAGAACTGCTTTTCATCATGTCCCATATGTTCTGGTAAACTGTGCTGCCATTATTGTTTGATTCTAGGAACTAATTTCATTCTTGATTTCTTCCATTGATTATTCAAGATGTATTGTTTTAATTTCTATGTGTTTGTACTATTTCTGTGGTTTCTTTTGCCATTGATTTCAAGTTTCACTTCACTGTGATCTGATAATATGCAAAGGATAATTTTAATTCTTGTGCATTTACTAAGCATGCTTTATTGGCTAGTATGTGGTCTATTTGGACTATGAAGTTCAGTGTGCTTCTGAGAGCAATATATATTCTGTTGTTGGGTGTACCATTCTAAATATTAAGTCCATTTGTTTGAAGGTTTGGCCCAACTCTGATATTTCTTCATTGAATTTTTTATCTAGTTGATCTGTCTCTGATATTGGGGTCCTCCACTATAATTGTGTTGATCTTTTATGTCCAGTAGTGTTTGTTTTATAGTGTTGGGTATGCTGATATTCAGCGCATATATGTTTATGATTGTTTTCTCTTCCCATTGAAATGTTTTTTAACTAATGTATAGTGACATTCTTTGCCTCTTCCTATCAGTGGTAGCTTGAAGTCCACTTTGCCTGAAAATAGCATAGCTACTACTGCTTGTTTTGAGGTTCCTGTTACATATATTGTTTTCCATTCTTTGAGTTTTTACTCTATGAATTTCTTTTTGGGTTACTTGTGTTTTTGTATACAACATATTGTTAGATTTTGTTTATTAACCCATTCTCCCAATCTGTGTTTTGACTGGTAAATTGAGACCATTTATATTAACAGTTATTACAGAGAGATTTTGACTTATTCCTGCCATTGCCTTA